TAGCTCAGTGGACTAAGCACTTGCTTAGGCAAGCACAGGGACCAGGCTTGATCCCTGGTACCACATGCTGTACCAGCCCTGTCTCTGGGCATGCTGAGCTGGCAACCGAGTCTGTGTGGTGGCACACACTTGTAATCCCAGCGGCGGGGAGGCTGAAAACAAGAGGATCACCACGAGCCCAAGCTGTGTAGTCAGACCCTATAACAACCAAATACATTTTTTAAAAAAGCATTGGAAATGACACACAATTCCATGGAACACAGTAATAGTAATTCAACAATGGTTGCCGTATTGCATGATGTTATCTTCAGATTAGTTGTTTAGTTTACCAGATGTAAACCTGCAACATTGGTTAAAATACAGTTATAAGAAATTAAAACAGAATAAATGATAAGCAAATTAAAGAACAGCTATACTTGGCTAGAATGGAGATGTCAAAGAAAAACAAAATACAAGCGATAAATATAATTTTGAATTTTCCAGTATGTGAAAAAATAACAATATAAAAGCAATTTTCATAATTCATTTTATTTATTCTAATATTTAACTAAATTGGTATTGTTTCAATGCGCAGTTAAATACTATTCATGAGCTATTTCACACTTTTTATATTGAGTCTTTTATACATACTGTGCAATTTTTGTCCAGCACACACTTTGATTTAGGAGCTAAATTTTTATTTGTATTTTGATTTCAAAACATGTACAGATGAAAAATTAGTTTCACACAGCCACGGTATTAAAAAAATAAAGACTTTTTTTATTACCTGAAGCAAGTATCAGTTTTTAAATTTAAATTTAAAATAAAACCAGCTCATCAGTTACCCTGGCCCCATCTCAAGTGCTCAGTGGCCATAGGAGGAGGCCCCTGGGTGGTGCGGGTCTGCAAACTGAGGCAGCCCGCAATTGGTACACAGCTCACACAGGCACTGGACAGCCACTCAGGGACCCTGAGGTTTCTGCCTTAATTTCTTATTGTATTCCTCACAGAGAGCAGGAAACATATACAGTTCTTCTCCAACAGTGGTAATATAGACTACAAATTGCTTTAGAGGCAATTCAAGTAAATTGGCAGTGCTGGTGCCCTTGTAGGTAAAATGAAACTAGAAGGATGAGATTTCATTTTTCACCTTAGAAGTTGATGTCAAGAAAGCTAAGCTTGTCTGTTCACAGGTCTCGTTGTTATATGTATAAGGAAGGCATTTACACTGCCATCACTGCAAATAGGGTAAACTCAAGAAAGATTAATCGTTCTGTGAAAAAGAAATGCTTTAGGTCTTGGACTGGGGTTGTAGCTCAGGGACAGAGTGCGTGCCTAACATGTGAAAGGCCCTGGATTCCATTCCAAGCACAGAAACAAGAATTATCTAAAACCTAAGACTATCCTGTACTGGAGGACCAGACCTAGCTGAGATCTGAACCCATCTTCAGGGACATGCTGCTGCCATGCTTTTGAAATGTGGCTCCTGGGCTACAGAAACTAATCTTTAACTTCTGGTTAGTTTTAATTAATTTTAACTTAAACATCAGTTCTTGGTTCAGTTGCTAGAAAACATTTCTGTTCATTTGAAATAGTCTGTGGATGTGCATCTGGTTTTTTATCTATAAATTTTATGAGCTCCACGCACATTCTTGTCCTATTCGTCACTTGGAAAGTGCTTTGCTTGGTGCCCAGCCCTGAATTTGGCACTAGGAATATACTGAGACTGGGACAGGCCAGTTTGCACCCTCCTGGAGCTCTCAGGATGCCTGGAACCCTAGCATGACACCGGGGTGTGGGGAGTGCCACGCAGGGAGGTACAACATCAGAGAGTGCAACCCAGGGACCCCCACGGAACTTAGGAGAACTGTCCTGACCCTGCCAGCGTTGGGCTCAAGGAAATCTTTCCTTTTTGCGATGCCAAAAGAATTCCCTGCTCTAAGCAAAGATTTACCAGATACACTTTATCATTCCTCCATTCACATACAGAAAAATGAACATTAGCTATTGTCTACTAACATTTGGCCAAGATGAGGCCACTCATTCCTAAACATATCATTTCCCCACAATGATAAGCACATCTTTCAACTTTCCTGGGTCATGTAGCTTTTCAAGTGTTTGCCATCAACAAGCTAGATGCCCAGTTATCTGACATAGAATAAGTGTCTCTACACCAAGAAGTTTTCAAGAACAAATTCTTGTTCATCATTAGCTACTCTACCAAAAATAACAAAGAAATATATAATAACACTTACATAACTGGGAAATATGTGGGCCAACTTTTCCCTTTATCCTAAGACACTCCGGATGCAGATCATTTCCTCAGTGGTGTTCATAGTTCAGTTTTTAAAGTCATTGATCAATGTAAAAATGTTACAGTACCTTTTGAATAGTTCTCTGATTCTGTTCTGAAACCTCTTTCAGACTTATAAGTTCATCTTCTGTAAACAAAAAGAGAAAGAGGCCAACCATGAAATTACATGCATATGCCCCTGTATTCAAACTGCCTGCTTCAGGGCAGGCTGAGAAGCCACGAGAAGGCACAGTGGACGCAAGTCTTAGCAGGATTGCGACCTTCACCACTGCCCTTGACATTCACAGCCTTCTTCCTGCTGTTCAGACGGCTGGTCAGAGCGAGATTAAGAAGTAAGTTCAAGATCCAAGTGTGGCCGAGGGCTGAACGCTTTTCATCAATATTAGCAGAGGACATTTTTGCTGTTAGTCACAGCCAATACAAAGTGCTTTAGCAGGTGGCACGTGATGACTCAATAAGAAGGACGCAAACCTGAAAAGGCCTTACCATGCCACATGAGAAGAGAGCCAGAACCCCACTGACAAAGTTTAACTTTATATCCAAGGGACGCTGTGTCTTATGGTGTCCATGTTTTACTCTTAGTTGTTTATTCCTTGGTCCTTGCTTTTCACATTGTAGATTAAAGGCAACATTATATAATCAACATAAACACAAAGATGGTAATTAAATGAAAAAAATTGAAAGAATTTAACTTTGGTTACTATGAATGCAATTCTTATTGATGTTTATGGTATGGTAAAAGGGGATGTATAAAGTATACAAATAAAAATTTGTTCCAAAAATTTGTTTCAAAAGTGGAAGTAAAGTAGGTAGTAAACATTTTTTTTTTTTTTTTTTTTGCTGCGAGGCCAACTATGTGTTTCTACAAAGTATAACCAAATATGTATGCTTAAGTACGTAAATATTACAGTTTAGGGGATCAGCATATACAATAAATCAGCAAAATTTTCTGTCTGTTAATAATATTTCTAAGGGAAGTAGAACAGTGATGAGCACATTGCTTCACAGAGGCCAACATGTTGCTGGAACAAAACACTAAATTAACATGACATGGTCCAGGCGTACAGCTACACAGAAGTCCTTTGCTCTAAGCAAGGGATGTCTCAAAAAGAAAGCCCAGATCTCTATCAAATTGATCTTTAAACAACCACACAAATATAAGTGTGGAAAAGATTAACATAGCAATACATTTTACCATGCATCTGTTTCTTCAAAAAAAATTTTTTTTCCAGGTGTTACCTAATGTTGAATTTTCTTTTATATTGCGTTTGACTTCTTCTTCAAGTTCTGAAATAACTTTGAGCAGTCTCTCATTTTCCATTCTGTACTCCCAGTTTTCTCTTTCTAAGTTTGATTTGGAACCGTTGGCCTCAGCAAAAGTGTCCTGAAAGATAGGGAATTCCATATCTCTAAGCAGGGAGCTGAGAATTTAAATATGCAACACTAGGACAATGCAGATACAGAAGAGCTATCATATAATTTTCTGAATTCTATTACACACTTATAATATGAATAGTAAAAAGGAAGGAGACCAAAAAGAGCTTGCAGGAAGAAAGGCTGCAGTACATTCTGTACAAAGACCCCAGCACATGGGGACATTTTATTGACAGGAATAATGCATATCATACTGTTCGTGCGCCCTCGTCATTCACATCAATTCATTACGGAGGCTGTGTCCGGGAGGCAGCTGGGGCCCCTCCACCCACCCTTTCCTCTGTGTGTCTGAAGTGCTGTCCGCGGTAACTAGGCAGGCTGGGGAGACCGCGGGCGGGCAGCGCCAGGGGGTGGCAAAGTGCACGGCCAAGGAGGGGGGCTTGTTGCCTTTGTGGCATTTCCCAGTGTCAGCGCTGCCAGTGTCGCGAGGAGCACATCGCATGTCAAAGCGGTGACGTTTTCAGGCTGGGAGCCGCACGGCGCCCATCAGGCGCACGGATACGCACACAGTTGGTTTTCTGCTGGGTGGGGGAGCCACCCAGAGGCAATTCATATTCTGAACATTAACATGGCTTTGCATGCCTGTCACACGGGGACTGTGCAAGCGTTGAATGCTATTGAAGACTTTGGTTTAAATCTCTATGCAAACAGCGATTACCTTGTAAGAAGGTTTCAGGATAACTTGCAACAAAGGACTTTAAAGTTATAGTTTTAGTAAAGCAAACTCATTTACATTTTTATTATGTGCATCTTTTGTTTAAATCTTGCCATGTCCATTATGGGAGAGGCTTTTTCTTACGCAATAGAAGCTTATTGGGACAGCTACTCTTTTTTTTTTTTTTCCTTCTTCTTCTTGTCTGTTTAAAAGCTATTGAAAACATCTGAATATATTTCCTTATGGTCGTTGAGATTTTACTGCTGCACATTTTTTCTTTAAATGAAGATACAATGGGTTGGGGAAGCTCATGCAGAATTCTACATCTCATCAAGGTAAAATATTAAATGGATTATGCAATGTCCAAAATATTAACAAATCGTTGAATTGTTATGCTAAAAGAGAAAATTCTACATGTCTTGATTCAAAATGACTACAGTATTTGCTCTGCAAATACTTTTGAATTTTAACCATCAGGTAACCAGTAGTCTATTCCTTTTACAATAACCCCATGATTACAAATAATTAAGGACAAAACATCTCCTTAGAAACAAAATATTTCTTTCAATAGGCTGGTTTACTTTTAGACCTTTGCTTGTATTTCACTTTAAAGATATCGGTGAAGAAATTATTAAAATATTTTCTCCTGTGTCATAATGGTTTGAAAGAATAAGTGGTTGAATGTTTTATAGTACAATTTCATAGTACACTAGTAAATCCTTTGCAAGACAAGTGACTTACTAATGAAATTATAAGGGCTGGCCAAAGAGCTCAGTGGATTAAAGTGCCTGCAAGCAGGTGCAGGGGCCAGGGGTTCAATCCTCAGGCCTGTAGTGCTGGCTCCGCCTCCAGGGCAAGCTAAGACAGCAATTGAGACTGGGCATGGTGGCATGCGCCTGTAATTCCAGCTCTTGGGAGGCTGCAAACAGGAGAATTACTACGAGTCCAATATACATAGTATAGTTCATAGTAGACCCTGAACACCCTGTAGACCTTTCCCTAAAATACAAAAAAATTAAAAAATAAAATAAAAAAAATTAATTTTGAATATTAATTCAAAGTATATTGTTAAGAATGTCACATTGAATGTCACATCAAGGGACTGGGAGATGGCTCAGTGGAATAAGCACTTCCCTGGCAAGTGCAAGGGTCTGAGTTCAATCCCTGGTTCCACACACACACACAAAAGTCACATCAAGTTCAATCACAAATTTATTGCTTTTGTGGGGCAAAGTTACGGAGTTGGGGATCAAGCCTAGCACCTCATGTATGCTAGAGAAGTTCACTTAGCTACACCCCAGCTGAGCATCTTCAAGACTTCGATTCACCACTGCGTTTCAAGTATTTGAGCCCACTCCATTCTTAGTGAGCAATACAAAGTCTATTGTGTTGACAAAGGAAGGATCCCAGCCATCAATTTTTTGTCTCACGTTGTTCAACTTGAGATCCTCACAGAATATGTTTGCAAGCGAAAAGGATTTTCAAACAACCACTAGGAGGCATAACAAGTTTAAGCAACCATTTCCTAACAGTGGCAGATTGTGAAAGCCCAGAGGATGACATGAGTGCACAGCGGCATAAACTGTAGAAGTGTTCAGTCAGCTCTGGTGGGATGTAAAGTGCACATGTAGTAGCAGCAAAGTCCTCAATCCGGGAGGGCTTTCTCCTCTGCTTATCCACCTGCACTCCTAGCTCCTGCGTGTTACCCTTTAGCTCTGTCCCCACCATCTGTCAGCTTGAGGAACTGCAAATAATTAAGGATTCAGAGGCCCGCGGCAAGGACACTCATTAGCAAAATGAACAAACAAAGGGGTAGTTCTGGACTGCTAAGGCCCTGTCGCACCCTGAGTGGCAGTGTTTTGTGGTGGTGTTTTTTTCTGCCATCTGCCCACACTGCCAGTTCTTGGTTTGCTTAAACCATGAGACTCCTTTAAAATAAACTGCACTATTAAAACAAGGTTGAGAAGGATGGTGATCATTAAAAGGCGGTTAACTGGGTGTTGCTATTTAAAACCACATTACACTCTAGGCGAGGCTGTGGGTGATCCATGGTTTGGCTGGAATTTTAAATTTTAAATTTATGAAGGAAATTGCAATTCTCAAATTTTTCTAAAATATTATGAAAACTAGGCCTCTAGTTAGTGGCATATGCACTGTCTCTTGTGAATGTTTCTAAATGCACAGAGTCACTGTTTCAGGTTTCAGAATCCCAGGTTGAATCTCTAAAGTAGCACTGTCAACAACAGTATAAGCAGACATGGCCTACTTGAGAGGTGGTTCATGGGCCGGGATCCTCAGTCTTGTCTGGGAACTTACTAAGCACAGGCTCAGGCTCCAGCCTGGAGCAGCTGTACCAGAGTCTATATCTTACTGAGACCTGCAGGTGACTCATAGGAACAGTGGGTGTGAGAAACCCCGGGCTGGAGCCCTTTCCGTGCTTTCTTCGCAATGCCCCCTGCCACGCCAGCATCTCAACCCTGAGGCTTCACCTACCGTACCCAGACATCTCAATTTGACACTGGGGGTGGAGTGGGTTGAGATTCATGCTCATGCCTTGTGAGAGTCATGAAGAAGAGCAGGTGTTTCCCTGTTGAGTGACAACCAGGAAAGTGGCATGCTGGGGCAGCACAGCCCTGCAGAGATGCCACTCTTGAATGACAACTTTGTTTCAGAGTTGTCAGCAATAAACAGACACATCCACCAGTAGACGGTGGGTGAATGATAGTCACAGAGCTCGTCTATGTTGGGGCAAGAACGAAAAATTAAGGCTTTGGAGTGCAGCAACTCTAGTGGAAATGAGATGACATATGTGCACACACATGTACCTGCAGACACACACACTCACACACAAGTACTCTGACAGGCTACCCTCCTTTCTAAATTCTCAAGGGCACCAGGACAGCCTGCTAGCTGGATACCCACAATGGTGTGCAGCTGAGTTATGCTGGTTTCTACGGAAGAAAAAGTGTGAATCTCATCCTTTGCTCAAACATACTCTCAGGAAAGATAAATATCAACAATGCTGTCATCCAGAGACAAGTGAGTAGAAGTCTGAAATGGTATGAGTTCCTTTTCTGATTTCCATTTTGTCAGAAATATAACTTAGGCCTGCCATGCTGTCCCAAACTCTGGGGCGCACTGAGACGGCGATTGAGACTGGGCATGGTGGCACGTGCCCGTAATCCCAGCACTTGGGAGGCTGAAAACAGGAGAATCACTACACATCTGTTCTACACAATGAGACCCTGTAGTCCCTGTACCCTTCAGACTCTGTACTAAATACATCTAAAAAAGAATTAAAAAATAAATAAAAAATTAAAAAGAAATATAACTTA